ATATATATATATATAAAATAATGAAATAGGTAATGAATAGTTATAAAAGAGTGTAAGAAAATTACAATTCATTGGAGATTTTGAAAATTAAAAAATAAAATAAGAGAAAAAAAAATAAAAAAAATAGTCATCGAATTAGTGTGTGTATGAAAAAATATTAAAAATTCTTAATTTTTTTTATTTTTCTTAAACAATTGAAAAAGTTTAATAGTCTAATTAAAAATGAAAAAAAAATAACTATAAAAAGAAATTTCTACTTTATATGTTGATATTGATAACTTTTGTTCAAATCACATAATGGAATTTCAACTGAAATTCAAACATGCCAAAATATTTATATAAAAAAATACTTGGGGTCCAAACCTAAAAAATCCAAAGCCATACTTTGAATTGATAATAGGAATGAGCCTAGAGTATAAATTTGCGATGCTTATACCCAGATCTTTTATGCTCAATGTTTCAACTCAAATATAGATTAAAGATTCTTACGAAACTGGTTAGCATATGTCCATTTTAATTTCAAGATTAATTAAAACATGAATACAAATCTTAAAAAGATTTTGAGAATTTTTCTATTAGAAAAACTTAATTTTAAATGGAAAATTTCTTAAAATTCTTCTAAAGTTATATTTACTCATAAAAAATGTAAACATAGTGATCTTGAGATAAAGTCTGGTGGAATTTATTAGTCTCACCGCATCCAGCATCAGAAACAGAAGAACATGAGCAAGGCAAACGGTAACCAGAGTTAAGAACCTTAAGACTCCACCCAAAGATCATCGGTTTTAAATCTGCTAACTTATAAGCTAATTAACTTCTTTATGACTGCATCTACTCACCAGAATCCAAAACCTCTTGTTTGATTGTTTTCTATTTCCAAGGGTAAACTAAATACAACCATTCCCTGAGATGAGTGTAATTAACAGAAAAAATCAATTATTATTATTGATATTATTATTATTATTATTATCTTTGGATATATGATTTAAATGTTTTTCTAAAAGTAGTATTAAGAAGACATAGCCAACGAGTTTTTTCTTCCATAAAAAATTTTAATATAATGATTTAGCATAAATTGTGAGCGAATTTTCTTGCGAGGTTCAGTGGGTATCAGGATATTGAGGTAAGAAATTATTGCCGAAGCTTTTATGTTTTTCCCAAACCTTGTTTTCTTTTTATGTATTTTTCTTCATTTACAAATTTTTCATTTTTAAATTATAATTTTCTTAATAAATCGGTCCATTTTAGAGGAAAAATAATACTTCTAATCAATACTCAATAATTAAATCATATATCTTATGATAATTTTTAGTTAAAAAATATGAATATGTCTAACTAATTCTCCTAACAACTTTCGATGTCTATATACATTTTAAATGAGCGTAAAATATATATTTTTCTTTTGTTTTATATATCTCTTTTTAATATTGGTAATGGGAATGGTGAGTTGTCATTGACTTGAATGCACAAATTAATTATAAATGAGGTTTGGTGTGGAAGGATTAGCCAACTTGTCACTTTTTTTTTTCTCTTTGCAACTTTTCTCATTTGTATTGAAAAACTGACTAAACTTAAATAATAGATTACATTATACCATCATTTTCAATGTATTAATTTCAAGAAATGATCCCAGTATCACATTAATTTAATTATTAAACATTAAAATGTAATAAGGATTTTTTTTTTCATATAAGTCTTCCCTTTTTTTTTTTACTTAATTCAAAAGTTGATCACTTGACCCTTTAAATTATCAAATAGTGTAAAAGAACAAATTGTGTAAGAGAAACTTTAATAAAAAGCTCATGTGCATAATTTAATGAGTTGAACAAATTATTTTCCTTCAGAAAACAAATAGGAAATTTCTTGCATAGGAGTTTTTATTGAAAAGCTGGCATATGAGTTTGAGTGTATTTGATTTTCTATTTAAAAAAAAAAAAAAACAAACTTAACATTAGTCTAACATACTTTTTGATCGAAAAAAAAATGAAGGAAAGGAGAAGGAAAAGCTTTTCAAAACTTTTTTTTATATTTTAAGAGAAAGGGAAAGGAAACAAAATCTCTCGTAATCTAATTTTAACTCTCCTTCAATATTAGAGAATTTGAAATTGAAAAAAAAAATTAAAACATTTTTAATATAATATTTAAAATAATTTTATTTATATTATTAAATTTAAAATTATAAAAATATAAAAATAAATTGATTTTTAAAATCTTTCTTCTCTCTTTTGAATTAAATAAGAAAACATCAATGTTTTTTCTCCTCCCTCTTCCTTCCCTTTTCTCCCTTAAACTTTTTCATTTCACCTCTTGTCTTTTGAACCAAAGGAACCTAAAGAAAAAAAATAATTCTTGTCACAATTTTATCTTATAATGCTAAATAACAACTCCCCCAATAAATAAATATAACTTTCAGTGAAATACCTTTCATGTAATCAATCAATCATAATCATTTAAAATAAACAAGTAAATACCAAGTCAACATGCGGAACATCTGTTTCATAGTATGTATAATTTATTGTATGAATTTGTTATCAAATATTGTATTTGTGTTAGTATCAACCTACGCCATCTGTGTTTGTTTGCACTCCAAACAAGCATACGAGCTTTGAATTCATATAAAAGTAATATCTTGTGAATGTATTTAATAAAAAATGTTATGGTAAGTGTCGCAAACGAGGTCGCGACGGATGGCGAAAAATAAATTAAGAAATAAAGAGTTGTTACCTGTTGTAATTGAGATCGCAATGGGATGGCAAAAAATAAACTAAAAAATAAGGAGTCGTCAATGTTATTTTTTACAGAAAAACATTAAAAAAAGCATAAAGTAGAAAATAGTATACGAAAATCAGATTTTTTAGTTCAGGAGTTGATTACGCGAGGAAGGTATCAGCACCTCACAACGTTCATCCTAAGACGATTATCTTTAATTAATTAAACAAATTATTTATAGCTTATAAAATATTTATCTCACTAAATTAATTAACTATAATGATCAAATGTATTTTATTTAACTAATTTAACTAATGCATTTTAAAAGAAATTAAAATTATTATTGTTATATAAAAAGGAAGATAATATTATTTTTTTTATTTT